CCGTGCCATCCGCAGCCCGCTGAGCGGGGGGAGGGGGGAAATCAGGTTGAAAAAGGTCAATTTTGGGGAGCAAGTGGGAACGGGGAGGGCTCGTTCCCCGTGGCACCTTGTGTGTGGTGGTGATGATCTCCTGAGGGGACAGGTGGGTGGCATCAAGGGGGAACAAAAAGGTGGGGTTTTTCTTCAGTTCTCACCCCCCCTGGGAGAAGTACAATTACAAGGCATGAGCTTGTTGGGTCTCATGGGCTTTGCTCTGGTGAAATATGGGGCAAAAAGAGGGAATTGTCAATTGAAGCTCACCAGGGTTACAGCTGGGACTGGTAGGAGGTGGGCTGAGGGTCTGGGGGTCCCCCTGACTTTGGGGGGTGAGCGGGGAAGGGAGGGAGCACCCACCTTCTCGGCATGCACCTCGATCTGGTTGTTGGAGGTGGTGACAATGATGTCCTCGGGGGCGAAGTCGCTGACGTCCACCGTGAACTGGTAAGTGTTGCCCAGGGTCTTCACTGCGCCCGTGCTGCTGGGACGAGCTGCTGAAGAGGAAGGGGGTCATCACCACAGCTCTTGGGGGATCCCCCGTGAATGCTTCTTAGGGGAGGGTGTTGAGAGGACCCCCCCATAATGTATCCTGAGGCCATGACCACATTTTGGTGAGGATCCAACCACCTCTCCCACTGCCCCAGCTGCCCAGGACGCGGCTGTACCGGTGCGAGGGGCAGAGGCATCACCAAACCCCCGGTTTGCTCCTTCCCCCAGCCCTAAAAACGGGGTGATCCCCCCACCACCCTAAAAAAAACTCACCTGGGAACCCCAAACTCTCTCCATGGGGCCGGACAAAGCTCCCAAAAAGGTCCATAGTGCAGGTGAAAGCTGCTCTCTGCTCAGGATGCAGCCGAGGCTCCCACCTTCAGCCACCGCTTCCCACCCCGACCTCTCACCCCAGATCCTGCTGGGGAGGAAGAGTGAACCCCCTTTCCTCTACCTCCTCCTCTCCCTCCCGGCCACGACCAAGCGGGATCAGTTCTGTTTTGCAGGGGGGAAGAGTCCTGACGAGCTTTTTAAAGCCTCGTTAGGGCTCCTGGGCGCCTGCCAAGGCCTCGTAAAAAAAACGGGCTAAATTTAGCGCTGGAGACGGTGGAAATTTTTCCCTTCTCCATCCCCCCTTCTCTCCCCTTCTCATGGAATGCGGTGCCGGCCTTCCCGCCTGGTATTAATGATAATTAATTAAAATTCGGACCAAACACTCAGGTGCATTTCAGGACTGGGAACTTGGAGGTGGAGGAGGAGGTTGGAAAAAAACCCGGCTCGTTCCGGCCCGAGCGGGTCTGTTTGGGCTTCGTCAAGGTCGTTTTTAATGAGCTCGTTTGCAAACTCAGTCTGGCGGTGGTGGCTGGGGAGGGAGGAGTGGTGAGGGGGTGCTGGGAAACAAAGAGGGGGGTCCTGTCCCCCCAAAAAGCCCTGGGATGGAGCGTCCTGATCCTGGGGGGCTGCAGGAGCTGGAGAGGGTGTTGGTGTCAGAGAAGAGCTGGAGGCCCTGCCCCAAAGCCCGGAGGAGGCTCCGAGGTGAGACCCCCCCAACTCAGAATGAGGGGGGATTTGGGTGTGGGGAGTAGGGTGGGGTTTTTTTTTTTGGGGAGGGGGTCATCACCCCGTTGCCACCCCCTCTGCAGGGTGCCTGGAGTGGGTGAAGCAGCAGCTTTTCCGCGTCGGGGAGGATTGGTATTTCCTCTTCTTCCTGGGGGTCCTCATGGCCAACATCAGCTTCATGATGGACTTCCTTGTCTCCAGGCTCTATGAGGGTAAACGAGGGGCTTCACCCAACGTCTGGGGGTTCTCCAAGAATGCAGGTGGGCATGGTGTCTTTTTCTTTGGGGGGCAGTGGGGTGCATGTCCCCTCCTGGCTCTTCCTCTCCAGCCCACCGGTGGCTTTACCAGGAGATTGGGGACATCCTAGTGCTCAAGTACCTCTCATGGACCATGTACCCAATGGCTCTGGCTGCCTTCTCCACCGGCTTCTCCCAAAGCATCACCCCACACTCAGGAGGTGAGGCAGCTGCACCCCAACCTCCCTGACTCCCCAGGACTCCTCTCCACTACCAGGGGAGCCCCCTAAAACTTGGACAACCCCCCCTGCTCCTTCTCACTGCAGGCTCTGGCATCGGGGAGCTGAAGACCATCCTGACAGGGGTGGTGCTGGAGGACTACCTGGCCATCCACAATTTTGGAGCCAAGGTGGTGGGGCTGACCTGCACCCTGGCTTGTGGAAGCACCCTTTTCCTTGGCAAAGTGGTGAGGGATCCTCCCACCCCCATGCCAGTTCCTGACAGCTGGGGGTTCTGGTTGGTGCTGGGGGCCCTCAGCACCATGTCTCCCCCTCCTTGGCACCCAGGGTCCCTTTGTCCACCTCTCTGCCATGGCCGCTGCGTACCTGGGGAAGATGAGAACCTCGATCACTGGGGAGTATGAGGTGGGGAAGTCACCTGCTCCCCCCCAAAAATGAAGAAGGGGGTTTTCCCTTCCCCCAAAAAAAAATTGGGGGGGGGTTTATTTTAGCCCCAACCCTGGGGCTGTGTCTGTTCTCCCCACAGAACAAGTTCAAGCAGCACGAGATGCTGGTGGCAGCACAAGCTGTGGGGGTGGCCACGGTTTTTGGGGCACCCATCAGTGGTGAGGACCCTCCTCCTCCCACCCTGGGGACTTCCCAAAGTCCCCCTTAATTCCAGACTTTCTCCCCCCGCCTCGTATCCGTGTTTTCCAGGGGTTCTTTTCAGCATCGAGGTGATGTCCTCCCACTTTGCTGTCCGGGATTATTGGCGCGGCTTCTTCGCCGCCACCTGCGGCGCCTTCATGTTTCGCCTCCTCACCGTGTTCAGCAGCGAGCAAGGCAAGGCCGGGGGGGGAGCAGGATGTTTTCCCCCTTTACCCCCTCGGGGGTGGTGGTGGGGGAGGTACGTAGCATTTTTTGGGGTGCCCTTCCCCCCAAACGTTGCGCTCATTTGGCTCTTCCTGCCCCAGAAACCATCGTCGCCGCTTTTAAGAGCGACTTCAAGCTTGACTTCCCCTTCGACCTCCTGGAGACCTTCTTCTTCCTCATTTTGGGGGAGAGGGGGGACACACACCACCCTGCTCCCCCCC